AGTCCCCATCCCTACAGCTGTCCACAGGCTGCCCAGCACCACCAGTGTGTACAACACCTTCCACAGTTTCTGAGGGCTTATCCTACCTCCGTGTTCACCTTTACTCAGTTTCCTCAATTGTTTACTTGGAGACCCCTGGAATGGCTTATAACAAATCAGTGCTGCACAAAAGGATATTAAAGGGCAGTTCCCCCAGCCAGCCCCAGGAGGGTGGGGGTGGGACAGGGTGGGAATAAGGAGGGATGAGGGATCCTAGTTTTTGAAAGATTCAGGTCCCAGAACCACAGACTTGCGAGACCATCCTCACAAAGGAAGGGAAACAGAGGGAGGAAGCTGCTATGAAGATTAATTTTTATTCACAACGTAAATGTTCAGCAACAGAAAATTTGGTTGATAGACTGGTTCTCCACCTAAAGAACTACTGAAATGGTGGCTGTGAAAAGCATGTGGAAATCTGCTTACATTTAAGTGAGAATAAAAAGCAGAATGCAAAATTTTACTAACAGAACACAAAACTAAAACAAAAAAAGATTCAGAAGAAGCCTGGAAGGCAATGTACCAAAATATTAATGGTAGTTATCCTTTGGTGGTAGGATCATGGGCGATACTTTTCTGTTTCTCTGGTTTCTAAATTTTCAGTAACGTGTGCTGGCGGTTGTTTGAACGGAGGAAAAATTATTTTCAGTAATCCCATCCTTGCCCTCAATTTTTAAAATGTATGAAACCACTGTGGCACCAGGTAAAAATACTCAGGTGACCTTGGGGTCATCCATCTCTCTGAACTCACTTCCTTGCCTGAAACAAGGTCACTTCTCAGGGTTGGTGAGAGTGAGAAAATGGACGAGGACATCAAAGTGCCGGTTCTGCGCCTGGCACACAGCACACTTCCAACGCCCCCTCTGTGCCCACCTTGTTGGTGCTGACTCCGTCTTGTCCGGCACCCCCGATCACGTAGATTCTGCCGGCGCAGGCCACCACTCCGGCCGAGCTCACGGCCTCGGGGAGAGGTGTAGCAGGTGCCCAGGTGTTGGAGAAGGGGTCATAGCGTTCTACGCTGTGCAGGCGCCGAAGGCCATCGAAGCCGCCCACCACAAACAGCTGCGGATAAGGACAAGCAAGGGTGAGGTGCCGCGGCCACTTTGGCGGGAGTCAAAGCTGTCTGCTTGCCCGCCCCACGGTTCCGCTCTGTGCAGAGAAACTTTCTCAAGACCCACACTGGGTGCTTCCCGGCACTGTGGGCACCTGGGAGGCCTCCAAGCACTTACCAAACCTCCCTGAGCACGTTTCCTCTGTTAACTGGGGATAATGTCAGTCTCTGGGTGGATACTAAATTCGTAAAATATCTGGCATCAAACTGATACTTAATAATAATAGCTAATAATTTATTGAGTTTATCAACTCACTTCACTGATCCTAAGAACTTCTATTTTCTTTTCTGAATTTGGGATGTAGCTTACAAAGATAGCAGATTTTTTTCCTTTTTTTTTTTTTTTTTTTAAGTGGCAGAGTCAAAATTCAAACCTAGTCTGTTTGGCCCCAGAGCCCACACCTTTGATCCCTGACCACTAGGCTGTACTATTATGGTGAACAGTATTAGCATTAGCATTATTATGTAATTTCAGGCAAGTATCTTTCCTTTTTGGTGCCTAAGATCGCTTCTTTCAAAGAGTGTCTTAGAGGGCCTTCCCCAAGTAGTCCATTGATCTGTACCTTGGTCCACCAGGCAGCAGCTGCTGTGTGTCCCTACCTGCCCCTGCATGACTGCCATCTTATGCCTCCACCTGCCCTTGAGCAGCGAGGCCACCTTGATCCAGGTGTGCAGAGGGGAGCTAAACATCCACACGTCACGGCTGTTAATGTGGCCTCCTAGGGAAAGAGAAGCAGCTGTTGACCCCAAGCCCTCTTGCCCCAGCACCCCTAAAGACCTAGAAATAAGGGCCCCCAGATGCAAAGGAAGCATTAAGGGTAGACAGCAGGAAGGACTCCCCGCACTGTGCTGGTGTGAGGCTCTGGGCCTGTGACCTGGACAGTGTGCTCTGAATGAATGGTGGGAAGGTGTGAGTTAGGACAAGGGACAGGAGTTTTGATGGGAGAGGCCTGAGAGACTCAGGGAGGGGGAGCTGATTTTCACTGGGTGCCTTATGGTGGTATGCCAGGCTCTGTGCTCAGGGAAGCAGCGGGGGGGGGGGGGGGGGGGGGGGGAGAACGCTTAGAACTCAAATAGACATGAGTGCAAAGTGTGCCCAAGTGTCAGGAAGCTGATGGAGACAAAGGGAAAGCAGAGTCACCTGCGCTGAGATGGGGAAAGGTAGAGTGTGACCTAGTAACCCTGCCTTATTTCTGCCTTTACCTTCACACGATTTCATGTCTGTTCTCATCCTTCCATGAGGTGTTAGGATTATTGTACCCAGTTTACAGACAGGAAACTCAGATGCGGCTTAGAAACCAGGAATGTACCGCTGAAGACCACACAGCCTTTCATTCCAGATCACAGACCAGAACCAGAACTTCTAGTCCCTGAAGCTGAGCACTGGTATGTCCTACGGGCCCAGGCCCCAGGATGCAGGCGGTGGACTCTCCTTCCCTGTTCTCCTGGAGTTACTGACCAGGGACTCACCTCTGAGGAGCAGCCTTCCCAGGGTTGGAATCACACTAGTGACAGGCTCTGCAGACGTACATACCACTTCAGGCAATAACCGCAGGTTATCAGGAAAGGCCTGCCCCAATTTTGCAATTGGAGATTAAAACAAGGGACCAGCATGAGAGGCAAAGAGGCCAATCCTGTGGGGGTGCCACTGCCTGCCCTCACCAGAGACATAGACGTCATTGCGCAGAGCACAGGCGGCAAACTCTGAGCGCGTGTAGCCTGGGAGGCTGGGCAGAGGGGTCCAGCGCCGGCTCTCTGGATGGTAGGCATCAGTGAAGGGCAACTTCAGGAGTCCCTTGCGGTCACAACCGCCGACGACCACGATCACTTCAGCTAGGTCCATGAATCTGGCAGGGTGATAAGCCCAATGCCTGTTAACCCGCACCCAACTCTCGGCCTTCTCTCACCCTCTCGATGACCACACTGTACTGACCTGCCCTTCCACGCTCTTTTGTCCTCCAGCCCCATGCTGGACTCTGTCACCTCCAACCTCCTTTCCAGCTATTGATGGAAGAGTGTCACACTAATCCCTAACCCCAATCTATTGACCTCTAAATTACAGAGAAAGAATCTTTACAGAGCCCTTACCTAGAAATGTTACTTCATTCAATCCTTATGATAATCTTATTAGGCAGGGATTACTACTCTTTTTGCAGAGGAGGGAACTGAGGCTCACAGATTTTGGCTTGCCAGAAGTCATGGCAATAAGTGAGAGAGCTGGAATTCAAGCCCAGGTTGGGTGCCACTAACTCATTCTCTTCATCCCTTTCTGCCCTTCATCCTTAATGAAGACTGCTGACTCTGCTGCCTCCCTCCTACTATAATCACCTAAACCCATTCCCTAATTACTAATTCCTTGGACCAGGCTACACACCCTTTCAGCAAAGCATTCTCCCCTCCCACTAACCAACTCCTCAGGCTTTTGACCACACCAGAATTTCCAAACCAAGCCACCCACTTCCTACCTAATTCTTTGACAAACACTGCGCATCTTCTTTGTACCAGGCCCTGAGCTTAGTGTTGGAGACACAGTGTGGGAAGACAGTGGCGTCCTGTCTTCTATCCCTGGGAGGGTGACAATCTTGACTACTCCACGCAAAGTCTCCTGGTTTGGCCCTTCCAGGGGTGGGAGTAAGCCTCTTATTTTTTTTTTTTCAAGACCTATTTATATCCCTTACTAGGTTGAGCTCTCGGAAGTAAAATCTATTTCCACCTACTCCCAAGTCCCAAGCACCCAGTACAAGACCCGCACGGAGGAAACACCCAGAATTACGGATGGATGGGCAAGACAAAGGATGTGTACAAGTTGTTAGATCCCCGCCTCTCCCTCATTAGATCATGGACTCTTTCAAGGGTAGACAGAATTCCCAATATCAAGCCCATGAAGTGTGTGCTGAATGCATGACCACATCTCATTCCAGAGGCACGATTACGTGATTGGATTAAAGAATGCCACAGGACTGAGTGGTTGTAGAACAGAAGATGAGAAAGGGTGGAAGGCAAGGGAATGGGGGTTGGGGGGTGAGGGGGGTGGGGGGGCGAGGGGGGTGGGGGGGCGAGGGGGGCGGGGCGTACCTCCGCGGCCGGGCCCGCAGCGCGCCAGCCTCGCAGCCAAGGATGAAGCAGGCGCGGGCCTCGAGCAGCAGAGGGCGGCACTCGCGGTTGGCCTGCAGCAACTCGTCGGCCTCCACCTTCTCCAGGAAGTAGGCGGGCGCCAGCAGGGGCAGGCGCACGTGCTCCAGCAGGCGCCGCAGTTGCCCGCGGCGGGCCGGCGCGTCGTGGCGCACCCAGCGCATGGCCGCCTCGAACACGGCCTCCTCGCGCGCCACGCCCAGCGCCGGGTCGGCCAGCAGCGCCGCCACCTCGTCCGGCGCCAGCTCCAGGAAGTCGGCGTGGCGCGCCACTTCGACGAAGGCCTGGCGCAGCACGCGGCCGCAGCGCTCGGCCAGTGAGGCGAGCGAGAAGGCGGCGGCCACGCGACGCAGCGCCAGGCTGTTGGCGGCGCGCAGGCGACCCTCGAGGAAGCTGGCGCAGGCCTCGCGCAGGCCCGCCACGCCCAGCCGCTCTGCGAGCGCCAGCACGGCGGCCGCCTCGTCCTCAGCGCGCAGCCGCACGCCCGCCCCGTACACGTAGTCAAGCACCACGGCCAGAGCCGCCGCCGCCACGCCCGGCGCCTCCGAGGCCACGGGCACCACGGCCAGGCCGCGCTCCGGCTGCCCGGCGGCGAACAGGCTGCGGAAGTAGGCGCTGCCCGCGCTGAGTGCCGCGCGGTGGCACGGAAAGTCGCGGCCACCGGCGCGCAGCACCACGTCGGTGAAGGTGCCGCTCAGTCGGTACGCGTTGAGGGTCTGCAGAAGGCGCTGCGCGTGGCAAGAGCCGGCGCACGGCCCCTGGGACCCGTGCTCCGACTCCTCCAGCACTGGACTCTCCAGCATCCTGCCAGGTAAAGAGCACAAACAGCGTCACAAATCCACCCGGTTGGGCCTGGCGTGAGGGCCGGAGGCCCCTCGCCCGTCTATTCCTTGGTCCCTTGGCTGGTTTGCTCACGCAGGTGTGCATGGATGTAAGGCGTGTGCTTTCATTTGTTCAGCTGCTCCTCATTCCACTCCTCCACGCAGAGCCCTAATGGCTGTAGTGATCTAGCCCCTGACTACTTGAAGGGCTGGGCCCTGCCTTAGCTGTATCTCTTCCCCTTCGCTTACCCACTTAAGCCATTTTACTCTTTCTCATCTTTAGACTCGTTAAACTTTTTCTTTCTTTTTAAAAAATGTTTATTTTGAGTGAGTGAGAGAGAGAGAGAGAGGAACAGAGGGTCTAAAGCAGGCTCTGTGCTGACAGCAGTGAGCTGATATGGGGCTCGAACTCATGAACTGTGAGAGCATGACCTGGGCAGAAGTCAGACGCTCCACGGACTGAGCCACCCAGGCACCACGAAACTTTTTCTTAATATCAGCAGGAGACAGATGGTGAGCTCTCAGATGGGATGATTTGAGGAGAGTCTAATAAGGAAAGGGATTACAAGGAGTGTGGGAGCCGATAGCCAACTAAACCCAATTGAAGGGGAGTCTGGGAGGGTGTTCCTATGGAGGCATCTTCAGACTAAGAAGCATAGGTAGAATCAGCCAGGGGAAGGAAGGCAATGCAGGGAGCTTGTCTCTATTTAGAAAAGAACTTTTGCTAAGGCCCGGGGAGGAGTGCCGGAGGCTAGGGCCCAGCTGAGAGGGAAGTTGGCCCTCTCTCTAGTGAGTTCTCTCCATGTTTTCAAGGAAGCACTGTGGGGAAATAGAGCTAGCTCTAAGGGCTGATCCGGGCTCTAACCCTGCCTCTGTCACTGACTCACTGTGTGAGCTGTGCAAGTCACTCCCCTTCAGTTTCCTCTTCTGAGATGGGATCATAGTGCCTACTTCACAGGATTGTTGTGACTTTGTGACTATTAAGGGGAATTTAAAAAGTGCTAGGTACATAGTACAAACTCAGCTAACATTTCTTCACATGTTTTTTTTTTACATGAGAGGAAGGAAGCACATGTGTTAGTTGCTTTTATGTTCACAATTTCATTTGATCCTTACAACCCTGAACATTTCTTTAGATGCCCCTGCCCTTCTTTAAGTCTCATAAGGAAACAAACACACAGGGAGTCAGACTTTCAGTGGTTGCTGTGAGGATCGAAAGAAAGGTGTGTGTGAAAGCACTGTGCAGACTGAAGGGCCGCACTGGGCTGGTTGTAACTTGGCCATTATGAACATACAGTCTGTGCTTGCACACCTCCAGGGACAGGGAGCTCACCGCACGAGGCTACTTGCCCTGGAGGTCAAATCTTGCCCAGTGTTAGTCTGGCTTTCACTGCTCATGCCCCGGTCATCCTTGGTGGTGGATCCCCTGTCTCGGGATTACAGAAATGGGCTCCGTGGTGGGCAGGGTCCCAGGAAGCTAACTGTGCCCAAGGAGAGGGGCCGGGCCCTGCACCCACCTGGCTCCGGTCTCTGCATGCCTAGCTGCTCAGCCACACTTGGCAGGGCTGGGGGATGTCCTGGAGCAGCCCAGGATCAGCGGAGGGAGGTGAGAGGTCAGCAGAGCACGCTGCCCCCATTCCCTTCTCTGCAGGCTGCTGGCTAAGAAGGCAGCCGCCTCCTGAGCTGAGATCCAAGAGGGCAGGTCTCCTCAGGGTAAGGGGGGACTTGTCCCGGCTGCACGAGGGGCTGCCTGGTGGGGCAGGGAGGGAGTCCTCTCCTGGGAAGCGCGCCAGTGCTTTTGCATCTTTTCATTTGTTCTGCAGCTGTCTACTGCGCTGGGACATCAGACTCCATTTCCACCCTGGAGATTCCCAGTCTGGGGGCTGGAGGACACCCGTTGCAACGTGGAAGGTAGGGATTCCCAGGCAGGGCCCTGTCGGGCATTCTCCCTCCCCAGCAAAGGATCTGGGCCCCTCCAGACAAGGATCCTGCTGCCAACTAAGAGATCCAGCCTCTAGAAGTTGACATGCTACCCTGTTCTCGTTCACACCCACACCCACAAACACACACTCAGACTTTTAGACACGACACAGCCTTGCCGCGAGGGTCTGAGTCCCCGGATGTACCTGGAACTTACCTGGCCATGCCCTCACCCTGGTGCTCTGCGCTGCTGCTCTGGCGCCGACCCCTCCTGTCTGTCCTGCTGCCGCACCCGGCAGTCTCGCTCCACTGTCCTTGCTGCTCTGCCTGGACTCCCGCTCTGCCTCAGCTGCAGGAGGACAAAGGGGCCGGACGCCAGGGGGGAGGGGAACAGAGAGGGGGAGGAGGCGAGGAGGGGATGCTGGGCTTTTGTTCCATTCTTGGACCGGCCCAGGGACGGAGGGAGGGGAGGAAGGAGGCGAGAGTAAGCGTGGCATTGACTGTCCATACATCTCAGGAATCGTACCTGAATTGGGGGTGACTGGCACTGGCTGCACCCCTCAATAAATGCATGGATGTGAAGGTGTGGGGGAGATTGCCCTAGGGAGCTGGGGTGTAATTGGGTGGTTGTGAGCGTACAGGTGTTCCAGGGTCCCTGTATGCAAGCGTGGGAGTGCATGGGGACGTGGTGACTGTGTGGCACCGGGGTGGGTGATTGTGTAGCTGTAGGTGTGACTAAGCATGTGACTGCATAGCTTAGAGGTCTCCCGTTTCCCTCCTGCCTCTGTGTGGTTCTCCCTTATCTGTGTTCCTGCCTGACAGCAGACTTTGTCTTATCGGACTGCAGGTGTCTGGTCGTCTGCCTGGTGTGTCCGTCTTAGTGTCCATCTCTAAGTGATTGTTTCTGGGTTTGACGTGGATCTATACAGGAAGAGGGCTGTGTCTTGTGGACCGTGTGTGTCCTATGAGTTGAGGTGTTTTTCAGCAATGTACGCGCCTCGGAGGGGACCCAGTGAGGTGGGACGTGGTGGTACCGAGCAGGCCTGGTTGGTGGGGATGAGAGGACGCAGCTTTGGGCTGGCCTGGCCTCCTGGACACCGAGGAGGCAACCCCGTAGGCTGCCTCCACAAGGGACCACAGGGCCTAGTGTTTGAGAGGCGGGTGGGGAGATTTGCCTTTCATGGAAGAGGATAGCTACCGGGAGGAGGTTGCTTTGACAAGAGCCTGGATAGGCCCAGGGCGCTTGGGGTCTGGTCCTGGAACTGCTGTGACTTGCCCTGCGGCCCGAGGCAGACCCCTGCTCGTCCCTTGGCTCAGATCTTCATCGTGGCAGTAGGAATGCTCCCAGTTCCTGCTCCTCCCCTCTCAATGGGTTGCTGTGACGCTCACGAGGGGGTCTGTAAGTGAAAGCCACATGCCATGTGGAGTCAGTGAGGCCTGGGTGCCACAGGAATGTGGCCCAGCCAGCTCAGGCAGGCAAAGTTTGTGGAGGGAGCTGGGATGGCAGGGGTCACCATGATGCTGGCCAAGTAGGTGTCCTGGGGGCAGGGCAGAGTCTGTTCCCAGCATCCCATGCCAGGGAATGGTCTGTCTCCCTTCCCCCTAAGAAAGGAGTGTGTGTTGCTCTGTGTCAAAGGTTATGAGAAATTCTGGCACCTTTTCTTTTTTTATGTTTATTTATTTTCAGAGAGCACGAGCAGAGGGTAGGGGCAGAGAGACAGAGAGGAAAGAGAATCCCAAGCAGGTTCCACATTGTCAGTGCAGAGCCTGATGTGGGGCTCAATCCCACGTCCCTTAGATCGTGACCTGAGCCGAACCTAAGAGTTGGACACTTAACCGATTGAGCCACTCAGATGCCTCTGGGTCACCTTTTATCTGAACTTGGGAAGGATGGCCCTGGAGCAGGCTCACCCAGAGGAGGCTGTGCCCCTGAGGTCCAAGCAAAGGAAGGAGTGGGACAGGGAGGGGCCCTGTCTCCAGTTTCCCTGTGAACAGGACAGTCAGTCTGTCCTCCACAGACCAGGGGAGGATGTGGGGATGGCATCAGGAGGGTGGGGTTCTCAGGAACTCTTCAGGTCAAGGGACAGCAGCCAGCACTGACCACAAGCTGCAGGCTCAGCTGAGCGTGGAGATGGGAGTGGCCATCTGCCCACCTAGGGGATGGCCTCTATCCTGCCTCCGTTTTGGGGGATGAGGGGAGGCAGCTGGACGGCCTCTGCAATGGGGAGGTGGGTACAGCATAGGGCCCCAGTGAGAGTGGGATGCTGACTAGCTGTCCCACTCCGAACTCCCAGCAGCCTCCACCTGCTCCTGAAGGCTTTGGGAGGTCTCAGGTTGCCCGAGTGTGGCCATGAATCTGCCAGGGGGACTGACTGGACAGGAAAGGGCTGAAAGGAAAGGTCAAATCCACTTTCCTGGGTGGGCCTGCCAGAGGCTGGAGCGGTTACTGGGACATTTTGGGTAGAGCAATGTGCCCCATCCCTGACCTGGCTGTTCAGGATTTCCCTTATACTTTGTGCCCAGGGAAAGGCAGGAGCTGACCTCTGTCTCGGAAAGGGATGCACTTGGTAGAAGTTCAGTAGGAGGAAGGGGGTGTGATTCCTCTCACAGTTCCCAGAGGGTGGTCCTAGAGGTTAATGTGGGGGGCCCAGTCTGGATTCCAGAATTGGGGAGGGCTTTCTTTTCCTTTCTTCTAAGAAGGTACCAGAATTGCTCAGACCCCAATAATTCTGTCCAGAAGAGATACATCCCTTGGCTCCTAGGAAGCACCTCAGAAAGCCTCCATATGGTTGTGAGGGGACCTCTAGTTCCACCACCCAGGAGGCCTCCCCCTCTGCCTTGCCATTCCTGGCTGGTTATGGAAGGCACGTGTAAGCTCTGGGGCCAGAGCTTAGGTGGGAGTCTGCCTCTGCCCATTTTAGGCTGTGTGGCTTTGGATGGGCACTTTACTGCTCCAGGACCATCTCCCCCACCACAGTATGGGGATACTGGTCCCCAACCCCAGGGCCATTAACCCCTGGTGTCATGGTGACGCTGGGTAGGGGCCCAAGTACCCTGCCACTCTTCCACTCATTTCTGAAGATGGTTCCTCCTTTGGCCAAAACTGAATCCCAAACCCAGGAAGTTCTATCCCTGCCCTCCCACAGACCGTTCAGAGACAGCACATGTCAGGATGGCAGCTTTAATCATAGTGGCCACGGCTCTCAGGCTTGCTCCACTGTAGGCCTCCTTGGCCATGCCTAGAACGCTCTTCCCAGGTGGCCACTGCCGAGTGGCCACTGATGTGGGAACCTGAGGCTGTGCCAGTCCGCAGATCCCTTGGGCCTATGCCACCCTGCCCTAGAAGCCGGTTGGACACTAGAGCAAGGGACAAAACAGCCCTAGGCCTGTTCTCCTGGCCGTCTCCAGCTGCTCCTGGGACATGGCTCAGTCCCTCTCCTGAGGCAGGGCCCGTGGTGGTAGGAGGCTGGTTAGGGAGGAGTGTGTCCACCACGGCAGGCTTTCCTCCTGGGCTGGACCTCCTTGTGCTTTGAGACGGATGTGAAGAACAGCTGCTGGGGGCAGAGGCCCAGCCCAGGCCCTCAAGGCAGGAGCCACACAGAGAAGTCGGTTGCCTCAGCATAAACAGGAGGATGGACACACGTGGACATCCACATCCTCAGCTGCCACGCGGCCCAGCAGTGACCCATCAGAGCTTCCAGATCAGGATGCAAGGGAAGGCCTCCAGGGGAGGACCAGGCCCTGGGCCCCAGACTTCCCAGAGCGAGCCCCAGGCCCGCAGGGGCCTCTGTGAGGCTGGAGTTCTGACCCAGCTGGGCCTCAGGTGAGAAGGGAGCCCCCTTCAAGGGGAGCTGTGGCTGACAGGAGGCTGGAGCCAATGAGGAGGCCGTGGAGCCAGCTCACAGAGCACTCCAGGTCCAGACATGCTTCTGCCAGCTCTCTTGGGTCCCCTGGTCTCCACGTTAGGTGCTGGCTGGGACAGACAGGTCTTCAGCTAACGCCCACTCCGGTCTGTGAGAGTCTTGGTGCGGCTGCCACTCCCTCGGTTATCCTTAGGGGTGGGAGCGCTGTTGGCATACATGTCATAACTGTTGTCTGAACATACAGAGAGCTCATCGGAGATCTCCATGCCGTCGCTGATCTCTGTTGGGCCAGAGGGAGGCAGAATGTGAGTAGGGAGAAGAGGGGTCAGTGAGGATGGCTGGCAGTTGCAGGGGGAAGGGTAACTCTCAACAGCTTCTGATCAGACATTTGGGGGCTGATGAAGTCACTGTGTTCAGGTTTGGCATTGAGGTTGGCATTCAGGGCCCTCCTCGGACTCTGCAAACACTCTGGCCACACCCCATCCTCCTCTCCCTTCGAACTCCACCTTCCAGCCACAGAAAGCTATCTGCACCCTCCTGAGCTTGGTGCTCATGTGTTTACTCGGGGCCTTTGCACATATTGGTCCCTCTCCTAGGAGAGTCACTCTCCTGGTCACTCCTAGGAGTGACCTCCCCATCAGTACTTCCTTTTCTTAAAATATGGCTCAGTTTTTCTCATCTCTGTTATTATGGTCCCTTAAAAGCCTCCCCTGAGCCCCCCAAGCTGGGATGGGGCCGCCTGATGTCCACCTTAGCCTCTGCTTCCCCCTGCCCCATCACATCCTGTACTGTCACTATCTGTGGCCCCCACCAACTGAGTACTTCAAGCACGGGGTGAGGTCTGGGCGTCTGTGTCCCTACTGCCTGGCACAACACTGGACATAGAGCAGAGGCTCAGGAAAGGTCTGCTGAGTGGAGCTGAGCCCACCCTGACGGGACTCAGGGTGCCTTGGTGAGGATGAGGGTCTCCAGAAAGGACCTCTCAACCTAGAGTGAGCAGGGTGGCATGAGGACTGTGGCTGGCTCCTCAGAATCTGTTCTCAGAAGGTGCTTAATGAATGCGAGTGTCCTTTGACACTGAAGGAGAGGTGGGGCCCTGGATGGGCAGAACCTTACAGGCCTAGAGACTGACCTCTTGCTTTCCCTTCATTCTGTCTACCCCTTCTGACTTCGCTGGGCCAGGCTGTAGGAGCCTAGGGACCCCAGGTGCCTTTGGCCCTTCCAGGAGCTTCCCAGTGTGGCTAGAAGGCTGTGGCCAACAAGGGGAGGCCCTCTAACCCAGCCTTGGTGCTCAACCGAGAAGGCTCCCAGGAGACAGAGGTCTTTTAAGCCAAGGGGGGAGTAATGTAAGTGCCCCATAGGCAAGAATCTGTAAATCCTAAGCACCTAAAACAGTGCCTGGCAATCATTGGTTGAAGGAATGAATAAGTAAAGGGAAGAATGAATGAATGGATGTTCACACAGTCCTGGGAACAATCTTCCAAACCAGTCACCCCCACTGGGGTCTCCTTTGTTCAGGCTGTGTTTACCAAGCACACTTCTGGGCCACGCGTGGTGCTGCCCCCACAAGCACCTTGTAAGGGGGGTGCCAGTCCGTTTTACACAGGAGGGGTCTGATGCCAATGTGCCCTGGTTCACACTCTAGTTGGGGATAGAGCTAGGATTTGAGCCCCAATCCATCTGGCTCCTAAAAATCCCTCAAATCTCTCCTCTGTGTTCCCGCACCCAATCTTGCACCTGAATTTCTGGTTTCCTTGCCTCCAGCTTCCCTCTCGAGTTCACCCTCCATGCTTGTTACAGGTGGAATTGTGCTTCTTCCCCCAAAATTCATATGTTGAAAGTTCTAGCCCCCAGTACTTCACAAAAGGTAAGAAAATAAGGTGGTTGCAGATGTTAAGATGAAGTCATTAAGGTGGGCCCTAGTCCAGTATGCCCAGTGTCCTTATGAAGAGATGAAATTTGGACACATGCATACTGGGAGAACCATGTAAACACAAAGATGACCATGTACAAGTCAAGGAGAGAGGCCTGGACCAGATCCTTTGCCCACGGTCCTCAGAGTGAACCAACCTTGCCAACACCTTAAATTTGGACTCTGGCCTCCAGAATCAAGACTATAAATTTCTATTATTTACACCACCAGTTTGAAGTGCTTTGTTACAGCCCTGTTGTAACAGGGACAGATCTGCCCATCACCCAACTCTGCTCTCAAAATGGAGCCCAAGCTCCTGACCACACATTCATGGCCCGAGTGCTCCCCGCCTCCCGTGCCATCTTGGGGTGAGCGAACCCAAGGCTGCCCCCGCACACCATACAGAATGATAGTTCTTGGTACCCGAGTAAGCCGTCCCCCCTCACTACTTCTGAACATATGCTGTTCCTGCCTAAATACCCTTCCTTCCCTCTGCTTGGTCAGCTCTCACTTCAACCCACCACCCAGACCCTCCTGCTCATCTGTCCCATTTCAGCTGGGCCGCCTCCTTGTACAATGGGCCCCAAAACCCTCAGAGAGCTCTGACCACTCTTCTCTGCACCCCACTCTGGCTCAGCACACCTGTTGAGTTCTAGTGACCCCAGTTTTCTATGTATTTATTCTTAAAGCTGCCTCCTCCATCAGACTGGGAATTCCATCAATGGGCTGGCAGCAAGCAGAAGTGAAAAATCAATATCTGTGGTGTATAAACCAGGCAAAGGAGGGAGAGCCTTAAAAGCAGACTCCCCTACCCCCACCCCTGCATGTGCCTTTGTCCACCAGCCCGAGGGCTAACTGCCACAGGGCTTGGAGTTGATGACAGCATGCGGAGGAGTGCATGTTTCTGTATGTGTACATGATGCTGGGTGGACATATGTTTGTGCTGTGTCCCTGGCTGTATGTGCTGCATGTGAATGTGTGCACGCATACTCGAGTACGTGCTGGGGTGGAGGTAGCTGAGCCCACTGCCTGTCTCAACCTGCAGGGCTGCACACCTGAGAAGATGAGCTTCTCCTTCATGATGCTGACGTCCCGGCTGGTCCGGAGCACCGCAGCACTCAGCATGATCTGCTCGGGGTTGTAGCTCCGTATGCCACCCAGGCGCCACCTGCAGAGATGGGCACAGGTCCTTCCCCACCCTACCTCAGAGCAAGGGTCCTGCCCAGTTCCAGAGTCTTCTCTGGATTGGGCCTGAGAGACCAGCAGGACTCTTATCTGACTAGAGATGGGGAAACTGAGGCTCAGAGAAGGGCTGGAGTCAGACTGCGCTGACTCAGCCAAGGCTCTGCTGCCTCCCTCTAATCCCCGGAACACTCGCTCAGCCCCCCTTGCCCAGGAAGATGGTTTGTGGGGTTGGTGAGTTCTGTTTCGGGTGCTTGCAGTTACACATTGACCTTTGGGGTAAATGGGGGTGAGGGAGCTTAGCAGCCCTGATTGACGAGCCATCTGTGGGTTGCACACCAGTCTCCGGGAGTCCCGGCTGATGCATCATCCAGCTCCACCATCAGGCCAGACTGAGTGAAGTCAGTGGGGAGCCCCCCCCGCCGCCAGTGAAGTGAAAGAGGGGCGGGAGGGGAGGCAGTGGGGGGGCTTGTCTTCACAGGTTCAGAGGCAAGGGTGTCCAAGTGACTTGGGTGAGCCAGAGGCTGCTCTGCTCCGACAACCCTAGGAGAGTGGCCTGTTTCCTCATGGGAGGCACAGGCTAGATTGGGCATTAATCCCTCTGAAGGCAGAGGCAGGAATGAGGTGTGGGATAAAATTAAGCCAGTGGGCAAGAGGTGGGGCTGTACGGGGTGTGCAGGGGCCAGGAAGGGCTGGGTAACTCGGCCTTCTGTGCCCAGCCCACAGCAGTTTTTGCTATTGCGATACCTCTGAACCAGCCCCAAATCTCTGGTCTCTGAACTTATGACTTGTCCTGCAAACTAGACAGAAAGACTCACCGAACCCCCACCCTCATTCCCACCAAGAGAAGCAGGGGGCAGCTTGGAAACAAGTACCCAACCCCTTGGGCGCTGAGCCCAGCCAGGGTGGGGGGTGCAGCCCAGACTCCATGAGACATCAGTTGTTTCCAGATGGGGTCAGCACAGCAGAAATGGACAGACAGGTGGACAGGCAGATGGGCAAATGAAAAGGACAGACAGACCAGGGGAAAGCAGGAAGCAGAGGAGAAGGCAGCCTGTGTTCTGGCTGGGCTGGCTGCCCTACATGTCCTTGAGGGCAGCGAAAGATCTCTTATCTGCCACTGTGTCCCTGGCATCAACCTCAATGCCTGCTGTGTGGAGGGTGCCCATAGTATTGGTTCCGTGAGCAAATGGAGGAAGGGGGCCTGCAGGGCATGATATTCTCCCTCAGGGTCCCCTCCTCCATAATTCCTCTCCTGATCCCCAGGAAGACAGTGACACGACCCTGGCTGGATATGTCCATCCCAGCACCTGAGCCACCCTGGCTGGCGACCACCCAGCACACCGGGGCTCCGAGGGTGACGTCCTGGCTCCTCACTGTAGGCCCAGCACAGCCCCAGCACATGTGGATGTCTGCTGGCTGAGAATGAAGGAAGGGCCAGGTATGTGTCCCTTTGCTGCCTCAGCCCCTCAGCCCGGGAGCAGCGTGTCCTCTGGAAGCTGGTCAGTGAGGCTGTCTAAGGCAGGAGGCCCAAGGCACTTGGCCTAGGTGAGGGCTTGGAACCCAGGACCTAGGACTCCTGTTGGAAATTAACATTAAGCTTAGGAGGAAAGTGGCAGGTCGGGATCGCTGCAGCCAGGCACCTCGAGGACAGGAAGCTCAACCACTGCAGGGTGCCCCCTGGGGAAAGCAGGGAGGCCGTGTGTATAAGGTGGGGGGGTAGGAGTCACAAAGTGAGAGAGACACAGAAAAAGATAAACAGAGGCAAAGCCAAGAGTTGGGAAGGGAGGGATAGAACTTGGTAGGTTTGCACCGGCTAGTGGTGAAGGCCCCTGCGAGTGCCAGACTTGGTGGGGGGAGGGACGGCCAGGCACAGCCCCTGCCCAAAGGGAGCCGCTTCGGTGCTGAGAGAGGCCAGGCCAGCAAACCTGCAGGGAAGTGTGGGCTCCCGTCCACAGAGACAGCGAGGAGGGACACACCGGGCAAGATGGGGAGAGAAGGGAGGGTTGTGGGGGAAAGACGGAGGGCAGGGGACAGGAGGAGGCTTCAGGCGAGGGGGAGGTGTCTGGGAGGGTGACCCGCGAGGGACCCTGACCCAGGCACCGGCTCAGTGCACGGCAGGTTCTCAGAGGGAACTGGAGAAGGGGGTGGAGAAGGGGGTGTCAAGGAAGAGGGAGAAAGAGGAACAGGAGAGGAAGACCACACCAGAATTACCTGATCAAGTGATAGCTGTGAGATGCCAGAGTGCAGCAGAGAGGGGGGTGGGGAGAGAGAGGAGGGACATGCGCCGGATCAGAGCGGTGTGTGACAGAGAGAGAACGTCAGTCAGGAACAGAACGGCCAGTTGCTGTTTGGGGCTGGTTTGGGGCCCCTGCCTGGCCCTAAACCCTCCCCCAGACCAACCCCACTTCCCCACAGCAGCCACCATCCCGGCTGCTGCCCCGACCGGCAGGAGGTCTCCAGCACGGCACACCTGAGTGCCGGTGACAATCCAGGCCCCGGGGACCAGGTCAGGACTCGAGCCAAAGTCCACATAGCAAACCATGGCAGAGCTTGGCTGGCTGTGGGCTCCTAGGCGGGTACTTGTTCCGGGAGCCCCTCAGCTCTGGCTGAGGAGGACGGGCTGCGGGCCACTGGGCAGTCCTCCCTCCACCCTGAACAGGCTGCCTGGGCAGGGCTTCTCCTGGCCCTGGACTTGGGGAGGTCTGACTGGCTGAGGTGGGGGCTTGCCCGCTGTGGGGCAGGGAAGGCTGTGGAAGGGCGTCTGGGCCTACTCACTTCTGCAGCACGAAGATGCCAATGATGAGGCTGAACGAGATCAGGTCCGCGGTGACCCACATGAGACAGTACTCGTCTGGGGGCTGTGGACAGATCGGGGCCGCTTTTCAGTCCTGGCCGGTCCATACCGGGGCCCCAGGCTGAGGGTCCATATGGGCAGGAGGACCCCACTCACTATCAGGGATGAGCTGGGCGGGTCCAGAGGGGGCTTCAGGGCTTGAGATGATATTTTGTAGGAGTAGGCGCTGAGCACTGTGGGCCTCTGTGTGTGTGTGTGTGTGTGTGCGCGCGTGTGTGAGTGTAGGATAAAAAGTTCTGTGTGGGGCGCCTGGTGGCTCAGTTGTTAAGCATCTGACTTCGGCTCAGGTCATGATCTCAGTCTGTGAGTTTGAGTCCCACATCAGGTGAGCATGTGCCCCACTTCTCTCTGCCCCTTGTGGGATTCTTTCTCCCCCTCACTTGTACCCCCCTTTCTCACTCAAAAAACCAAAACCAAAAAAAAAAAAAAAGGTCTGTGTGGCATTCAGGGCAGAGGTGGCATGTGTGAATAAGCCTGGCGGGTTTGTGTGCTTACAGGGGGCTCCAAGCAGAAGCTGAGTAATGAAAGACAAATAGCTGAATGTGAGGGTGTAAGTGACTAGTAGGTACGCAGCGGTGCATTGGGCATCTGTGCCAGTATGAGATGACGTGTGTCACTGCAGGGTGTGGAGCGAGGGGCTGCCCCCAGGGGGGCCAGGGAGGGCGAAGCCTCCAGGGCAGCCAGGCCTTGATGTCAGGTAACTGAGGAGGATGGGTGGGGCTGGACAAAGGAGCACTTCTTGCTGCCGGTCAGCTCCTGTCGCCTGACACTCTGTGCACACTGCTGCGGCGGCCGGTCGGTGAGGTGCTGCTTCCCAGCAAAGCCTCTGGAGGTTTGTAAGGACCACGGGCAGGCGGACGGACGTGACCATCCCTAACCTAGACCTGATTACTTGACGCTGACACTGTCTCAGCCATAACAAGACCCTCAGACTGGCCGTCAGGTCCTCAGGGAGGTGGCGGTGGGGAGTTGGGCTCCCCCCCGCCCCCCGCCCCCTGTGGCAGAGCAACTGGAGCTCAGGCCAGTCTGCAGGGGACCGACCGACCACTTGAAAACTGGTGTTACTGGTGTATTCTCAGAGCAGCTTTTACATGTTTCCTGTCTGTCCTGTTGTTACCCTCCTTTCCTAATGCCTTCCCTTTCTTTAAAACAAAATACAACAAACCCCCAAAACCCAACCCCCCAAGTAGTAATTTACTTCTCTGGGGCCCTTACATGATGTTTTTCTCCCTGTGGGTTGGGCCCAGGTTCTTTCCACACCCCCCTCACCTTAGTGCAGACCCCAGAGGCCATGATCTTCCTTTTGCCTCAAGCCCAGGCCCCCCACCATGCACTGCCCCCACCCTTGAGATCTCACCGGAGAGCCCTGAGCATGGAGCCTACCCCCCAACCCTGAGCCACAGGCTCTCTCTACACCCCCAGGTGCCCTCTGGACCCCTCCCCCCACAACAATTTCCCAACTTACCATGATCCAGAGAGGGGAAGGCACCTGGGACAGGGCATGGGAGTTGTCGGAGGTGACAGACGGGACCCCCGCGCACCACAGCAAAGAGAAGAGCCACGGTGCATTGACTGTGTAGAGGTTCACGCTCAAGTTCCAGGATGCATAGTCCCTGTGGGGCAGGGGGATGGAGGCTGGTCAGCCCTCAGACTGGGGACTCCAGGCCCGTAAAGCATGTCCCCCTCACGAATGTCCTGCCACCCCCACAGCTGGGGCTGGAGAAAGGGGTCTGCACGCCCAGAAGACCAAGCCAGACCAAGCCCAGCTCCCCCTGATGCTCTTGGCCTCTGCTGTCTGCACCAGGAGCTCCTGTGAGCCAGCCTCCGGAGGGGGGGTGGGGGGATGGACACCTGAGCTCCTGGCGGGACACTTGAGTGTAGCGCAGATTCAGCCTCTGGATGTGGCCTCTCCGCAGGCTGGCAGCTGCCTCCTTGGAGCCCGACGTCTGTTGGAAGCCAGGAGCCACCTTCCGCACGAAGGGCCTCTGCCTGTTAGGCAGCCACATGACCTGCAGGCGGGAGGGGGGCAGCCTCAGCTTTCTCTTCATCAAATGGGGTTAGAGCGTCTACCGCCAGAAGGCCCTGGAAGGTTTCAAAGAGCCGGGACCTGGCACACAGGGGAGCTTACGTGTAATCATCACTATGGGGGTCAGCCTGGTCCCCGCCCAGGCTGTGAAACTGCTCTAGCAACAACTCAGGGAGCTTCCCCTGGAGACCTGTCATGACAAGACTGACAACCCAGGCGTCAGTCACTCTGTAGGATGACACCAGTTTAGTGTGCTGCCATAAACCGGTTTGGAATTCCTCTGATCTCCAAGTGTTACAGCACAAGGATGCGGGCAGCGCTTCATGGAAATGACTGTCCCGGAGAACCTGCTCGCACCCCTTGTACATTTTAAAGGACTTTGTTTCCCTCTTGTCTCCACAATGACCTGGTCAGGAAGGCAAGGGGCACACTACCCCCATTCTACATATGTGGAAACTGAGGTCTGGACAGGGGTGCAGTGACATTACGCTGCAGTCCTCCTGCAGCCAGGCCAGGGTTTTGGGGGGCGCAGGGCTGGGCTGCTATGCAGGGCCTGACCTGGTGCTGGGGGAAGCCAGAGCGCAGCAAGGCCTCCAGCGTGATGTTGAGGAAGCTGCCGCGGTAGGGGTGTTCCCGTGGCGGGTCACGCAGATTGAGCAGCAGCGTGGCATTGCCCTTGGCCAGCTCCAGGAGCTCTGCTAAGCTGCAGATGGACTGGTTCTGAGCCTCCCTGTGGTCGGAGGGTGACAGGGAGCTGGCCGTCCAGAAGGGATCCGTCTGGCAGAGAAAGGGACACACATGGCTGCCTCACCAGCCCCTTGGGGCCTCCATGTGCCTTCTTGGCTACTGAGCACGGAGACCCCCCCCCCCCCCCCCCCCGGTGCCTACTGCGGCGCGGCTCAGGTAAATTGATAGCTGTGGCCCTGTGGGGGCACTAGAAGACTGCGACCCTAACTTTTCTGTGCCACACCTGTTTACTGAAAGAATCAGTTGCTTGGAACTTATCCCAGACCCTAGCATATTTCTCCTTTAGTAGCATTTCACCCCAGGGAACCGATTTCCCTCTAGAGTTTGACTGTTAACATCACCACCATCAACTTTTTCTGATGGGGGAGACAGAACCAGAAAAGGCAGTGACAACCATGAGATCAGGGCTTCAGTGGCCAAAGCCAAAGCAGGCCACTGACCAGCCTGGATGTGAGTCACTGATGCTAGCGGTGGGGGCTAGGTGTCATCTGAGCTGATGACCGGCCCCAGCCCTCTTACTCCATGGGGTCCCCGCCTCTACTTTCCATGCCTAGGACTGGGACAGGTACAGCCAGACCTTCAGGAACCACTGGCCAGCATTGAGCCTCTGCAGGATGGTCCAGTTCAGCATGGAGGCGGGCCTGCGGGCGAGCTCCGGGAACAACTCCTCCACGTTGGTGGTGCGCCGCAGGGTGGTGTCATGCATGAGAAAGGGCACGCCGTCCAGGCTGCGGGAAGGTGGGGTCCCCACGTCACTGTCCGCCCAGGGTCCCTCACCTGCCCACCAGTCATCCCCCTACCAACACATGTAGGCTTCTTCCTACCCACTTCTACAACCCCCATGACACCCAGGCAGGCTTTGCCTCTCTCTGGACCTCAGGTTCCCTGTCTGCACAGGGAGGACAGGGGACTGACAGGTGACTCCTTCCGGCTCTCTGTGAGGGTCAGATGGGGTTAGGGGCTGATGAGGATGGAGGGCTGGGTCTATTCTTTTAGCAACCTTAGTAGATAGGTACTACCTCGTTTGATGATGGGGAAACTGAGGCTGGGAGAGGGAAGTACCTAGCTCAAGACCCACTAGCCAGTAAATGGTAGAACCTGACTTAGAACCCAGGCCATGTGATGCCATACTACAACAGTACAAATGCAGGCGCCTTTGACCTTCCCCCTTCCCACCATCCTAGTCTACCCAACTGGAGCTGCTGATACCACATATCATGTCTTAGTGTGACACAGTAAAAGGCACCTGAGCCCTCCTTCCTCAAGGCAATTTACCTCCATCTGCTAGAAGGTTTTGGTACACAATTCTGTGGTATCTACACTGGGACCAGATATCTACGATATCATACCCTCATGCATGTGATGTCCTTATTCACTACACAACCCGTGTAGCTGTACATGGCAGCCCTGCCTCTTTCCTCAGAGATAATCTGTTGTGAGATGGGTATGAATTCTTCTTGACCTTTCATGTTAACACATACTTTTAAAATCTACATGTCGAAAACGTAGAAATCGGTTTCTGTGGTCTTGTAAAATAAAATTGACATCACAGTGAATATATCACTCTGCAGCATGCTTATCCCAGCCATCGGTGTTTGAGCTCCACTTGCTGAGCCACTCAGATCTAGTCTTTCCTTCAGGTGGATCTGCGGCAGGACTCCAGGTCCCACACACTCACCCCTGCTGGAGCCAAGAGCAGCTGCTTAGTTCCCTATTTTATATCCTGGCATCTGGCACAAACAGGGTGTCGGCCCTGGGCGAACCATCCAAGCCCCCTCTCTGAGGCTCTGGGACCCGAGGCTCCTCCAGCAGGGTCCCGGATGTGGATGCGGCAGGGATGAGGGGACTGGCAGTCCTCCTGACCCCCACACCTACCTGATGGTGACATCAGCCTGTAGCCCATACAGCTTCTGCTCGAGAGCCTTCCGGAAGGACATCAGCGTGTGCTCTGGGGCCAGCTGGGCAGAAAGGGAGAGCCGAGATTTAGCTGATGAACACCTCCCCAGCCAATCTAGAACCTTCCGTGTTGGGAGGCTGGAGTAAGTCTGGTTCTAATTCCAACTCCTCCCAGTAGTAGCTGTGGGACCCTGGACACCCATGCAGCTTCTCAGAGGTTTGGTCTCCTCATCAGTGAAATGATGCCTGCCTCACGTGGCGGTGGGGTGGGGAGGAGGCAGAGTGGTTGGTTAGTGTTGATGTATATAAATGTGGGGGTGCGAGGGCTTTTATACGGTCCTCTGCCTCGTCAGTCTTGGGCTGGACTGCAAGCCATGTTTCCTCCTGGTTATACCTGGAGTCTGGGTGGAGATCCCAGAGGGGGAGAGGGGAGGGGACACAGGATGGCAGCGTTTCCATAGAATGACCCGTTTTGTCATCCATACAGCCATGACAGGCCCATCCCCAGACTGTTACATGGATTAAAAGCCCCTAACCATGCTGCCTGACGTACAATAAATGCTTAATAAATGACTACTACTAATCCTGTAGCGTACACATCAGAAAACCTGGGTCTAGCCCTGGCCCTGCCATAAACTAACTTTGTAACTGCTGGTGCATCTCTTTCTCCTATGGACCTCAGCTTCCCCATTTTCCCCTTGGGGGTATATATCCATTGTTCTCTGAGGGTCCTTCCAGTTGGGAGAGTTGGAGGTTGAAGTCTCCCTCCCTAGTTCTGTCTTGCCTGAAGGCTCTGTCATACCCTTTGTTGCCACTGGGGGTCACCACCATATCGGGGATTGGGCTAGGACCCAGTGCAGTGGGAGTGGGAAGGAGCAGCTGGACTTCCCAGTCGCCTCACCTTCTGCACCTTGGATTTTTTAGCTATAAAATAGGCTAATGTTATCAAGCTCACAGGTGAGATAAGGGGCATCAGCAGTCTCTATAACTGAGTTCCTTTCTTCCCCTTTCCCTGGGGCGGAGCAGTTTTGGGGGACATGGCCACCTTCCCCAGTCAGGTGTGCTGTGTGGCCCCACCCAGAAGTGGGACAAGGCCACAGAGGCATCTAGAGACAGGTGTGACCTCAGTGGAGTGTCTGCCCAGCTCACCTCTAAACGTCCTGCCGCCAGACCTCCCACAAGTGGCTGCCCAGGAGGTGCTCCTTTGTGGGCTGAGGCTGCTGCAGGTAGACTCAAGGTAGACTCATCGTGGACACAAAGGAGCACAGTGGGGTTGGGGGGGAGGCTACAATGGCCTCTGGGGTGCAGGGGAAGTGACTGGGAAGGGCGGAGTCTCTTTTCCAGAGGCTTTTGAATCTGCGCTCCCAGGGGTAGGTGCTGGCCTGGAGAGGGAAGCAGGGAAACCTAGCCCTCCCTGGCCAGCCTTGGGACTCCAGGAGGGCTCCAAGAACCATGTGGGATTTCAGGGTGAATTCTTAATCCCTACCTGCCTCAGGCCTAAGCTCAAGTGGGGTTCTTTTGTCAGGAGTGTGTATGTGAGGGTTGGCTGTCACAGACTCAGGTGGGCAGGCCACTGCAGTTAAAAGTCCTGACTTTAGGGGCGCCTGGGTGGCTTAGTCGGTTAAGCGTCCGACTTTCGCTTAGGTCATGATCTCGCGGTTCGTGGGTTCGAGCCCCGCGTCGGGCTCTGTGCTGACTGCCAGCTCAGAGCCTGGAGCCTGTTTCAGTCTGTGACTCCCTCTCTCTCTGACCCTCCCCTGCTCATGCCGTCTCTCTCTCTCTCTCTCCTAGAAATAAATAAAACATTAAAAACAAACAACTAAGGAGCTTACAAATATGTTGCTTTGTTTAAAAAAAAAAAAAAAAAAAAAGTCCTGACTTTGGAGTTAGTCTGACCAAATATTAAAGACACACACGCACACACAGGTGTACCCACAGAAGAACCATACAGCCAAGGGCACACGGACACACTAAGACAGCAAGGTGCACTTGGGCTTATCACACACAGATGTGTGGATCCAGACTCAATGATACACACAGGTGTAGACACCGACCCGCATGCATGCACAGTGACACATGGAGCTGTGTCAGATGCTCGTGCTATCCCCTCAAAAGCCACCCAGAGGATGCAATCAGCCGGATGCACAATGTGGGAAATTCTACAGGACAAATGACTCCGTTTCTTTGACAAATAAACAGCATATGGAAAAAAGGGAGGGGATTCTTCTCTACTAAAGGATACCTGGGAGACCTGTCAACCAGATGCACTATGTGTTCCCCATGTGGATCCTGATTTTTAGCAACTCAACTGTAAAAAGGCATTTTTGAGACAAAGAAAAACAACATGGATTCAGCATTAGATAATACTACAAATTATTACTAATTTTGTTGGGGGTGACATCAGCATTGTAGTTTCGGCTGTGTTTAAAAGAAAAAAGCCCTTATGTATTAGAGATACACCCTGAAGTATGTATGGGCAAAATGATAGGATGTCTGGGATTTGTTTGAAAATATTACAGCAGAAAAGAAAAAATAGGGACACAGATGAAACAAAGGATGGCAAGAACATTGATAAATGTTGAAGGTAGTCTTGGATTCATTATATTATTCTTCATTATATGACCCCTTACACAGTTCTCGCCACTTCTGTGAATGTGACAGCTTTTTCCTACTAAAAAAACGATCCATGCTGGGGCTATCTGGTTCCTTCCCTTTGGCTGAGCACCCACCCACCTCGGCACACCTACTTGTCCCCTGGCCTCTAGAGCAGGCAGGTGGGTAATCTGGGTCATGGATGGAAAAGGTGCTGTAATCTTGAGCCCTGCCCACCTTCAAAGGCTGTGCTTCTAAATTACCCTCACAATGGTCAGCAGCATGAGGCTCAGAGGAGACAGGTGACCCCCTGAGACCCACAGGCAACATGGGGCAAAACTGGACCGCAAGTCCAGATCCCTCTGACTCCAAAGCCATGGCCTTTCCAGCGGGCTGCCTCCTGGAGGTGCTGGGACCAGCAAAGGGTGTGTTGGGAGGGTACCAGGGTCCAGCTCGGGCTGGATCTTATCTAGAAAATGGCACAGTAACACCCAGCACAGGTAATGGGGGAAAACCTAAGGATGACCCACAGCCCCATCAGACTCAGCTAAAAGTTACTTTGTGAGGCTGCCTTAACTGCCCTGAAATTCAGTGACACCATGGAGCTCTCAATCACTGCAAAAGGAAAAAAAAAGAAAAAAAAGGTAATAAAGCTCTCATGCAGTCCCCAAGCGCCGCCTGGTGGTGGGAATCGGTACTGCCTCTGTTGAGAACCACAAAGTCAAGGTGTTGGTGCAAGAGGAACCCGGGGTCCAGAGAAGGGGGCGGGCTGGCCCCAGAAGACAGAAATATCTACCTCTCACTCTCTGTGCACCAGGCTCACAGCCTGGCACTTCACAGGTGCTAAGTCCTGCTTCACATGGTCCGCCGGTGCAGGCACTCTTGTTATCCCAGGACACAAGGTCAGGAAACCAGCACAGAGCAGACAGGGATGGGTTCAGGCTCCCACAGTTGCCAAAGGGCTGAGGAAGCATGGCTCTGGAACCACCCTCTAAACCTGTGTGTCACAGGGCTCTGACTTTGACTCCCTCTTGTCTCTAATTCAACCCTGTTCAACAACCTTCCCTCTAGCAGTGGGGTCTGAGCTGCACGTGTCCCTTCCGCACCCCACAGCCCAGAGGGTTCTCCTGCAACCCAGGGACCTGCTGTCTTCCCCACTCCACCCCCAACATCCTCACCCCCCACCCCCCGGGCCTTCCCAACCCACAACCTGGCCATGTCTGGCCCTGGCCAAATCTATCTTTCCAGGGCCCTCAGGACAAAAAGTTAAATCTTTTTAGTGCGACACCTTCAGGACTCCTCAGGATTCAGTCCCATCTGAGCTCCCCAGCTTTGTCACCCGTCCTTCCCATAAACCCCCCAAAAGGGCTAAAGATTCCTGCTATTACCATGTTACACATATTATCTCCCTTTCCATACAGGGTCCTCCCTACAAGGAGATAGGTCTTGGCTTGTCCCCCCGAGAATGGCAGCCCACCCCTCCCCACCCCCCGCTCTGTTAGGACCCTCCGGTGGCGCTCACCATAGGTGCCCCACGGTGGCCGATGAGGGCAGGCTTGGGGCCCAGGTCCTTTTTCTCCATGATGCAGGGAGAGGAGATGGTGAGAGGCGCCAGGTAGAAGGCAAACACCATGGCAAAGAAGATACAGAGAATGGCCATCTGGGAGGCTGCAGACACCAGCTGTGAGTCAGGCTACCTGGTGAGCCATCTGGCTTTCCACGAGGCCTACCCGTGAGTCCTGGGCAGGCTGGGGTCGGGGCAGGGGGATGCCAGAGCCCTCTTCCTTCCACCGGTCAGGACCCAGATGCGCTGAGCGGACCCTGCACCACAGCCAGCGCCCATCTTGCTGGGAAGGAAGTGGGCTTCTAACTCACTCACACACAGACTCATGGAGGAGGAAGCGTGTGAGGCTTGGGCTGCAGCCCTCGGTGGAACCCATGGGCCATTATGAAGCAGGACCACCACGCTGAGAGTGGCCACCCAGGTGAGGGCCAGGTGAGCGCAGGACAAGCTGGTTTTGGTACTTGGGAGGCAGCCATACTTACAGGACCGCTCTGCACGGGCAAACTGTCCTGCCACGATCCAGGAAAGCGCGGTGACGGCGGCCAGGGCCCCCACGTGCAGGAATGGTGCCGTGCCCTTGGGTGTGGGAAGGGGCAAGAGGGACCATGAGCTCCCAGCCATCCTAGACCCTCTGGTCACCAACATCCCAATGGCCAGCGTATCTCTGTCCGTGGGGCAGGCAACTCTGTCTCCTCAGAAACCCCAAGCTGTAGCACCCTCTGTGCTCTGACTTGCTGTGTGACCTGGACCCCTCCCTGCCCCCTCTGGGCCTTTGGAGGGATGTGAGTGATGAAAAAGCACTGCCTTGTTGTGAAGGTCCTGGGGAAGTGGCTGCCCAGCCCCACCTCACCCCCTCACCTGCAGGGAGATCAGCAGCACCTCCCACTCGTCCTCCCACAGCTGGGCCACGGCTGACATGGCCACTACCGTGGCCACCAGGATGACCACCAGCCCCATCTGGAAGGGGAAGAGTCACAGACAGGGGGTCAGAGCAGGTGTGCCTCGACAGCCCAAGCGTCCCCAGTGTGTCTGAGAGCGGGACGTGGAAGCAGAGACAGCGGGAGAAGCCCAGGACGGGCACAGGGAGAAACGGAGGGTGCAAGAGGGACCGACAAAGCAGGGAAGGGGGAAGCAGAAAAGAGGTGCAACGAAGCCAGAGACGGCTGGCCAGAAATGACAGTGAGAAACAGAGGCAGGAGGCGGCCGGCAGACCTCAAGAGAACGAAGGGAGGCTGAGGAGGAAAAAAGGTGGGAAGAAGTGGGGGGAGGGGGAGGTGCGGCCCCAGGGTTCAGCCCCGCTGAGGGGGTGAGGAGGGAAGACACTTGGCCAGTGGGGGCCTCTCATGGGCCCAGCAAGTCAAGTCCAAGGCCTCACTTAGCCCTGCCAGCAACCCCTGAGGTGAAGGGTGACCTGCCTAGGCCGCAGGGGCAGGAGGCTGAGGAGCTGGGTCCCCTGCAGGAGCGGATACCCTCTCAGGCTGGAGCAAGTAGAAGTGAGGCAGAGTTCTGGCCCACCGGCCCCACGGCTGAGGCTTGCTCCCAGCCCAAGCCTCCAGCCTCTACTGTGTTTATGGGGGCCCCTCTCAGCTGCCTCCTAGAGAAAGCGAGGAGCAGGACTCGGGACGGGACCTTCACAGAACAGAGCGCTCTGGGGACAGTTGACACCTGAAACCTCGCATGCAGCACAAGGTGCTCCCCCAGACTAAGCGAAGCCTGGTTTCTGGCTACTGGGCCCCCAGCCCCAGCCTCTACCCCACTGCTCGGCTCTCACTCCAGCCGCCTCCCACTCACCGCCAAGCCTGGCAACTTAAGGCTCAGGTCACGTCTCTACCCCAAAGCCCCCAACCCCCTCTCCATAATGGGCCAGTCAGGGCCCCCATCCCCTGCCTCCAACGACTTCCTACCACGGCTGCAAGCTGTCTCCCCACTGCCCCCCTTCCCTTCCTGCTGCGCCCTTCCCGGAGGCAGCCCAGCCGTGTTCGAGAGCCCTCCTGAACGGAACAACTGAACGAGATCGGAGGGTGGGGGAAGACCGTGCTTGCTCCATCTTCGCTCCCTGCGCCAGGCAGAAAAGATTCATTCCTGCCTGGGATTAAGTTTTCCTTTGGAGGTTTGTCATTCAGCCCATCAGCCCAGAAACGAATGTTCCAATAAGAAATAAGAATAAGGCTGAGATGGGTAGGGGCCTTTATGGACTGTAACGTACTGGCCCTGGGGGACACGAGAAGGGGGAGAAGAGGAGAGACGCAGGTACAAAGAGGAGGGCCTGTATGCCTGGGGCGGGGGGATGGACATCCTGTTTTCCTCCTGTTTATTCTTGTAATGTCCCCTGTGAGGTCATTATGACCTCGATTTTACACACAGGGAAATAGCTCAGCCTAAGGGTCTGCTTGCCCTGTAGCTCTGAGGGGGCAGATCAGGAAGCAAACTCCACTGTCTGCCTCAGAGGTCGTGCTCTTTCTGGGATGTCAAGCCGCAGTAGAGGGAGGCCAAGGAGTGTCCTAAGGGTCTCTGAGAATCCTCGACGAAACACAGGCTCCCTGCCCCCTGCCGCCCCATGCAGGCAGGCCCTGGGCACAGCAAATGTCTCCGAAGGGTTGTTGCTGACAGTCTTATTACATTTAACTGCTAGTGGAAATACTTGCAATAAAACTGATTTCCCATAATCCTAATGCAATTAAAATTTTCATTCTCTCTGAGCTTTGCAGTTGCTGTCGTGGCAACCATTATGCTCAGCAGCATTCCTGCAGTGTTGAGGGTCTGTGGGATCCCCCACCCCGGGCTTTCTGCTTAAGACACATTACCAGCACTGATTCCCAGCAATGTGACCATGACCATTGACCCCTTGCCCACGTGCTGGCGCCTGGAGGAGCTGGAAGGCAGCCTGGCAGAGGGGGCAGCAGGTGGGCCTCCTGGGGGCGGCTGGAATCTGGGTTCTGCAATCCAAATCGCAGGTGACAGGCCAGGGCTCTTGGGGCCACTGGAGCCACACCCTTCTGTCAAATCCCAGCTCTGAGGCCTAACAGGAGAGGCTAAACTCTGAAGCATGTTTCCTGAGCCGTGCCGTGGGAGGAGTGAGCGCCCACTCGCGAGGGGTTCAGGGATGAGGGAGAGAAGGCAAGTGGTCTGCTAAGCACAAGCGTTACCAAAATAGTGAATGCTTGCCAAATGTCAGTGGTGTGATTGAAAACGTGGGCATAATATCCAGTGACCAAGATTATTACAAGGCATGACTGAAACACTGTGTGGGAAGTGTCTGACGCACAGAGTAAGCACCCACTACAGGATGGCTACGGCCATCGCCATCGCCATCGCGAAGAGTGGCGCCCAGCATGACAGAGCCTTCCTAGTACACTGCTACTGGGTGGGGGCGGGGCAGGGGGAGGTTAGATGCTGGGAAGAACTGGGGAGCCTGGGCCGGTGGTTTGGAGGGGAGCCTGAATTCATGGGTAGCGCTGATGAAGGGAACGTGGTCAGGTGGTACACAGAGGCGCCACTGCCAGCCACCGGGGCCTGGGCTGGGGGCAGACGCACAGGCCCCGCCCCTGCTCAGTCAGTACTGCCGCATGCATGACTGTGTGGCGCCCAGTCCTCTTCCCTGGGCCTCAGGTTGGGTCACTTGCAGACACCTCCTCCATGCAGGCTGTGGGCTGGGGGCTGCCACCCCTGTGACAGGAGAGTCAGGCAGGGTTGCAGATGGGGCCGTGGGGTGTGATCAGTGCCAGGACTGGGTAGGGGGCAGCCTGGGGAGGGGGGAACTGTGGTCAGAGCTCCTCACAGCCGTGGTGTCTGGGCGGATTCCGGAGTGGTGGGTGGGACAGGAAGGGGACATCTCAGGGAAATGACCTCCTGTTTACTGGAAAGCTCCAACCACACTTCTCACCTTCTGGACCTCTGGACTTGTCTCCTGTGTCTGGGAAACGGGGTGTTTGGGAGGACGGGGAAGGTCCCCAAGTGCACACCCAGACCTGATCATGCAACCCTGCTTCCCCAAGAAGCACCCTCTGTGCATCGTCCTGGGCCCCTCTGTTCTGCAGCCCCCCCACCCCCAGGCCCCAGGGAACCAGAGACTCTCTAAATAAAGCTCATGATTAAAACACAACCTAAAATATAGTTCTTAAAGCAGTATGATACAAGCATGGACCAGAGAGAGAAGTAAAATTTAAAAACCCAGAAACAAATCTAAATACATTTTAAAAACTAGTCTACTATAAACGTGGGAGAGAACAGATTACTGAACATAGAGTTGGGACCTGGGAAGCCATCTAAAAAGGAACAAAAATCACACTGTACCCCCCTCAAAGAACTTCCAAAAAGGTAAAACAAGTAAATGTTGAAAAGAAAAATTAGGAACCCAGAAACCTATAATTACCAAATGATACCAACAGAGAAATTTTTTATCATCTTGGAGTGGGAAAGATTTTTTTAAGTTTATTTAAGTTGTGGGGCGGGGGGGGGGGGGCAGACAGAAGAGAGAGAACGAGAATCCCAAGCAGGTTCTGCACTGTCAGCACAGAGCCTGATGCGGGGCTCAATCTCATGAAGAGAGAGATCATGACCTGGACTGAAATCAAGAGGAAGACAGGCTTAAGTCAGGTTTAAATCAGGCTTAACTGACTGAGCCAATTTTTGACCATCCCAGCTGTCCCTAGGGAAAGACTTTCCAAAGTCCGACACAAAATCCAGGAGACAGAGAGGACAGATTCACATCCTGAAAAATTAAATTCCTATGGCAGAAACACAAGCCCAGTGGAAAGATGAATTAGGGAGAATCATTTGCACTTCACTGGCCAAAGGGGTAATTTTCTGAATCTATAAAGAGCTCCTACAAATCAATAAACAAAAAGCAAATGCCACAGCAAAAAGGGCAAAAGAGATGAAGAACCAGTTTACGAAAAAGGAAATGCAAATGACTCAGGCATGTGGAAGATGCAAGTCTAAGTCATCACAGGGGAAATGCAATTAAAGCTACTCTGAGGCATCACCCTCACCCATCAGATTGGACAAAGTCAAGACACCTGTGAATACGCTACGGCGAGGGTGCTTTCTAAGCAGACTGTGAGGCATGGGTTGGCGGCCCCTGGCAAGGAGGTACTTTGGCAGGAACGAGTGAAAGTGCATGCTCTTTACCTCGCACCTCCAGCCAGGGTCCCTGCCGCATTGTGCCGCACGCACTGGGATGTCCGGCTGGCCCACCAGCCTCGGGAACCAGGGATGAGACAGCGGGACAGGAGCAAGGGATGGACGTGATGGGAATGTTCTCAGTGCACGGAGGGGCAAGGAGCTCCAGTTTTGTCAGGGTGCAGAGGTAGCTGGCTGATACTTGTGTTTAGAGAGGAAGGAAATCAAGAAATGCAGATGTGTATTTGCAGGTACTTAAAATACCTCTAGAAGGATAGTAGGGGGAGTTACATTGCCTGCTTTTTAGTACCTTTTTAATTTTGAACCATGTCCATATATTGGATGGTCAAAAATTGGTTAAAACAAAAAGAATAAGGATTCTTTAGAATCTTAGGATGAAGTGACAGAATCTTAGAAACAGAATAAATAGTAGAATTTCTCGCTCCTGCTTGAACACTCCCAGCCCCCGGGAACCCCCTCGCTCCTGATGCAGTGGGTGCAGCCATGGATCAGCTCTGCTTGGAAAGACCTTCCTTGGGAGGGGACAGAGGGGAGAGGAAAGCGGGAGCTGGCACTGGTGCGGATGAAGGGATCGGACCCCCTAGCCCCAGGGAAAGGCTCCGGGTACTGGTCTCCGACCCCGGCTGGCTCAGTGCCTCCGGAGGCCTCTCCACTAGGATCAAGCAGTGATCCTGGCCTGCTGAGAACCAGGCACGAGCCTGAGGCGGTAAGCATGGTGAGTGCCAGCCCCCCTACTCCAGGTGCCAGCTGGTGCAGCTCTTTCAAGTCAGCTGCCCAGTGGAGAGAAGAAAGGGACTCATGAGGGGACTTCAGAAGCCCAGAGGACACCTCAGGATACAGTGACAAGCAGGAGGAAGCAGGGAGGGCTGCTGGCTGGTCTTCCCTCCTGTCAGACTTCAGTCCCTGGGATCTGACTCCCCAGCGCCTGGCCTCAGAGGCCCCTGGATGCCCACTGGTACCTGCCACTCCACACAGACCAGTTGGATCTGCCCTGTCCTCCCGGGTCCTGCTCCATGTCCTCCTTCTAGCAGGAAGTGAGTCCCTCCCCTGCTGCTCCTCACCCATCTCATGGGCTCATGGTTCCTTCTGGACCTTTCTGTCCCTTCTTCAACAGCAGGCTCGCTCTGAGCCAGACTCTGGGGAAAAAGAGATGTCCAGCCTCCCGCCAAGACCCAGGTGTTCCCAGGAAGGAGGGGCTCTCCTGATGGGCTTTGTTCCACCCATGCCCCCTGGGGCCTCAGGAAGGGGCGGCGTTGGCCACATACATTCAGCACCACACATGCAATGAATGGTCTGAGTGCTGAGGCTCGGAATTGAACTTGGGGCCCAGCCCTGAGTGGCGCACGGGGCCACAGAGATGGACGAAGCCAGTCTGGCCTGCAAGGAGCTCCCAGACGGGGGTGGGCCGGGGCCGGGGAGCCAGGCAGAAATGCACGGCATGGACTGGACGCTCAGGACCATGGCAGGGGAGTCCGCCAGGGCTGGGGAGCAGCCTGCAGGTGGGGGAAGCAAGGACTTCCTTTCCTTCCAAAGGAGAGAGAAAGGCAGGGCAGGGGTGAAGAGGTAGAGCAGAGAAGAGGCAGCCATGCTGGCAGGGCCTGAGGGGTGTCATGCAGCAGAGGCTGAGGGTGGCTGTCCCGTGCCAGCAGTTGGGAGATATTAGCAGGACCCGAGTCATCCAGGGCCAGAGCGCCAGCAGGGGAGCTGGGATGGCCCCGGGAGAAAGGGGAGAGTGGTAGGCAGGGCTCTGAGTTGGGAATGACAACACCAGCTTTACAGTGAGCTCACTGATGACTGAAGAGGCGAGGGGGCCAGGGCTGTGACCTGCGCTGGCCAATCAGCAGCTCCAGAGCTAGATTCTTATTAAGTGGGAGACCCCGGGCAAGTTCTTTAACCTCTTCATACCTCAGTTTTCCCAACTGCAAAATGGGATGATATTAGTACCTATACCATAGGGCTACCAGCGAGTGTTACACAAGTTAATATAGGCTGGACGATGAGAAGCATGCCAGGTACGTAGTGAGCACTCTGTTAGCTACTGGAACAGCTGCCATCGTGATCCCGAGGGAGGATGGCGTGTCCGAGCCCTTCCTCCGTGGCTACAACCTCCCTGCCCTTCCCCACCACCCACGGAGGCAGCCCTTACCTTGTGTAGCCAGTGCAGGTTCATCTGCTGACCCACGGCGATGTGACATAGTGCTAGGACCTGAAGACAGGGCCCGCGGGGTGACAGTCAGACACCATGTGTGACCTGAAGGTTTCTGCTAGTTCCCCAGACACCCTTCTGGCCACCACTGCTCGGGGCCTGGCTCAGAGCAGTCAACAAACCCTCCCCGTAGGCCATGGGCATGCCCAGCCCGGCCCAAGCGTGGCCTCCTCCCAGGTTGTTCTAGGCCATAAGCTCCTCCTCTACAATTTCTCCCTCAACAGGTCACTGGGCCCTGCTGCCCATAGGCTGCCCAGTTAATGTTTTGGGAGTTCAGGACCCCAGGATTCTGAAGCAGGCTTGAGCCCAGTCCCCAGGGAGCCCCTAGTCCAGCACAGAGAGAGACCCGAGTCTGAGGGAGTAGAGAACTGGGAGCAAGAACCAAAGCAGAAGTTTCTGGAAGAGATAATCTGCAGCGGGCCCTAACAGCAAGATGGCTCCCATCACCGGGTCAGGAGGAAAACATTCCAGCGTGGGGCTTGGAGGAAACCGAGCCCCAGGGGTGCAGCAGGCTGGGAGGACCCGGGAAACGCCAGCTTCCCTCTTTGGGCCAGGGTGGTCCTCCCATCGGCCCATGTAAGCCAGTCTACCCGCCCCCCCCCCCCCCCCCCCCCCAGCCCCGGGAGTAGGGTCCCCTGCCCTCTGAGACGGCCCACGTACCAGGAGGCCCGCGATGTAGGTGAAGGCAGCAGCCGTGGTCATGAGGATGGGCACAGACCAGTCACTCCAGTAGCCCATGCGGTTGTAGAGGTACCTGCCGGGAGGAGAAGGGGTTGGACCCGCACCGGGAAACCAGGAGGTTCCCTTGGGACAGCGGGCCGTCAGCTCTCACACAGCCAGGCTCAGTGACCAGGCCTCAGACCGGCCAGTGACGATGTCGCAGTTCCCGTGCTCACCAGCCAGGCCTGTCCAGGGCTCACAGCAGACACCTGGGCATGCCCCAAAGCATAAGGAAAACAATTCCCCATAATTCTCCTGCCAGGAAGTAACCGCTACCAAGACTTTGCAGCCCTTTTATTCCACTGGGTTTCCCTGCCGGGCTTCTGTATTTGTAAAGGGCAAAGCCAGGACCCTGTCGTGTCCGGCATATGCTCAATTTGGGCTCTGGAGGGAGGTACGCTGGGTTCAAATCCCCACTCTGCCTCTTACTGGCTCGTAGGACCCTGTGGAGGCAACATGCTTCCCTGATTCAAAGATGCCACTGATTGTGACATTCATCTCAATCCCGATGCTAGACTGTGAAAATCTGGGGTCTTAGGATTGATAAAATGTAATATCTGGTTTCTCTTAGCCTTAGTTTTCTCATCTCCAGGATGGAGATAACAAAGTGCCCTTCACAGGGTTTCCTGAGGATGAAGTGAGGCAAGGCACGTGGTAAGTACTCAATCAATCCTCTTGTTATTAACACAGGAATTTACTGAGGTCAGTAAAAATCCTGAGGAAATGTGATTTTTTAACAGCTATGTGGTCTGTTGAATTAATGAACCACATGTGGCCAACTTTCTACTGATGAAAACCATTTCTAATTATTCGCTTTTATAAATTAACACAAAAAAGAACATTTTGCACATAGCTTTCTATATTGTTAATTATTTTCTTAGGATAGACTCCTACGAAGAGAATTATGGGGCCCAAGGAATGAACTTTTTAAGGCTCTTGATAGATGCTGCTTAGTTGCTCTCCAGAAAGACTGAACCACCCACATCTTCCCTGTACAACTGGGGAAACTGAGGCTCAGAGAAGGCAGCAATTTACTCAGGGGAGTCAGAGACTCTGAGCCAGCACCAGGCAGTTTCAGGCCCTGCAGCCCAGGGCGATGGGAGGGGACACGAGGGCACTCTGGGGCACCCTGGCCTTCATCCTCAGATTGTAGGGGGAAACCTACCGCTTAGAAGATCACTGAGTGCACCCTCCACTACAGGTGGAAACACTGAGGCCCGAAGAAGGGTGGGACCTGCTCCTTGGGAACTAGTCCTGAAGATGTTTTGGTTCCACTTGTGTCTCACTTTTGGCAGGGAGCCCTCCTGGACAGCAGCAGCCCGCCTGGCCCCTCCCCGGCTCTCCGCAGCCAGCCCGGACCACCTGCTTCCTGCTCACACCCCCTCACTGTGTGAACTACCCCAGAGACCGTCGAGACCAGGAGGGCTGGGCCAGGGTCTCCTGAATCCCAGCACTGACTCCAAGAAACTGAGGTGACAGGCTGAGGGAGCTACAGGCCACCCCTAAGTCCCAGGCAGGCCTTCTCCCTACAGCCCCCCCAAAAGGGCAGGCACCCTTCCTCTGCGTGAGCTGCCAGTGACAGGGCGTGCGCTCTTTGGGCAGACTGGGTAGTTCTGTGGACAGCGTGATATGGTCAGCCACGCTCAGGTCCCTGTCCCAGATCTGCCTACACTTTGCTGTGTGACTGTGGAGTGTCTGCTTAACCTGTCTGAACTCTGGTCTCCTCAGACTGTCCTCAGTATGTATTTTGGCACTAAGTGGCTTTGCGGTGGGTGAGTCCTGCCTTCTGTGGGCGTTAGTCTCCCCGTCTGTACAAGATGGGGGTGGACCTGAGGCTCTCCCAGGCAGCAGACCTCCGGGTCAGCAGAACTGTCCAAGTCTGCAGAGAGGGCCAGCACAGAATGTTCCCATTTACGCACAACAGTGCCTGTGCTTTGGATACCTGTGGGAATGAATAATTGATTTATGGCATTTAATAAAGGCCAGAGGCCACCCCTGGGACTCAGGCTCAGCTTGCTGGGCTGTAGGGGACAGCAGCACATCCTTTATTGTGCTCATTCATAACAGAGGCACAGCCTTGTGCCATGCAGAGGGGAGCAGCTGCCCAGACTCCACTCACAGAGTCTTAGGATCATCCCAGAATCCTAGAACCACAGCCCGTTGGAAGTCCAGAGTCCTAGAAATCCCAAATTCTAACATCATGGCCACCTTCCAGCTGGAGGCCGGGCCCCCCCGGAAGCAGCTCTGAGGGTGACATGGAGCTCCGAGCCCTCCCATGGCCATTGTCTTGTTTCATCCTCAGAAAGAGCTGATGAGGTTGGAATGATCCCATTTTATGGAAGAGGAAACCGAGCCGGAGAGGTTCACCGTAGTGTGCTCACGGTCACACTGAGCTGAGCTGGGCTTCTAACCAGAAGGAAAAGACAGCACTGAATAGGGAGTGAGGAGGCCTGGCTTCCAAGCCCCAACTCTGCTCCTAACTGGCTATGTGATATTAGGCCTCAGTCATGGAGGAGTTCCCGTTAGAACCCAGGGAATCTCCCCCGATCCCATGCCCTTCACTGTCTGGCAAAGGCAGGCAGAGGAAGTGGGTGAAGAAGAAACAGGTACCCTTGTGTACCCAGGTACCAGCCTCAGACAGCCCTGCCCTTGGACCTGAGGCTCGTGCCCATAAAGGACCCTGAGCTGTTCCAGAACCATAGCATCGGCCAGTGCTGCCCAAGGTCCTGCTCGGGGACTAAGGAGGCCTGGGGTCTGGGGTCACCAGCTCTGCTAAGGCCCTGGTCTTTCTGGGCCTTGGGAGTCTTGTTTGCAAAGAGGTCCAGAGGCCCCAGACCCTCGCTGAGCCCTGCCCCTGTCTTACGTTCTTGTTTTCCATGAGGGCAGCACCAGGAAGGAGTTCCCCCCAGTGGGTATCAGCTGCTGCTCCGCCTTTGTTCTTTCCAGAGGACCTGCCCCCCAAAAGCCACACAGAGAACCCTGAGGGCCAGCCTGGGAGAGGGCCTCAAGCCAAAGCCATTTCAGCCCAGGGCCCAGGCCCCCACGTCCCCTGCCCACCACACCCCCACTCACCAGTTGAATTCATCGTAGTCATTGTGCACTTCCCACCAGAAGTAGAGCCAGGTGAGCGTGAGGCCGAAGGTGAAGGTGAGGAGCAGGAACCAGAGGCGTTCCCACTGCAAGAACAGAGCGGGGTAAGGGGCCAAGTGAGGTCTGGGGCTGGCCCCTGGGGTCACCTCCCATCCAGATGTTCTTCCTGCTCCCACTTCAGCGCCAAACCTGCCAGGCAGGACTACTCCCCTCTTTATACTGGTGGGGACCTGAGGCTCAGAGGGGGGAGTGACCCGCCCAGCACCACAGGCCCCAAAGTCACAAAATGGTAGAGAGTGAGGAACGGGGTCAGGGATCCACCCCGGTGGGCTGAGGCGCTTCCAGGGTGCACCATTCTCTCCATTCTGGGGATGGCCCCCAGGAGCAAAGGCCGTGTCTGCCTAAGCCTTCTCACTGGCGTGGTCACCTGCAGTCTGTGAGGTCACATCGCTTACCTCCTTCCCTTCTCACACACCTACAGCGCAGGTATTCTTTCCCACCCCTGCCCCACGCTACGGATAGATACACTGAGGCCTGGAGAGGTGAAGCGACTTGTCCTAGCCACACAGCGAGTGAGTGGAGCATTAAAGACCGCCCCCCCCGCCCCCCGCACTGCTCCTTCCAGAGAGGTCAGCAGGCACTTCCGGCTGGGCACTCAGGTTTATCCCTGCTTTCGTCTGTCGCCTTATCTCAGAAGCACAGCAAGCTGGGAACATCCTGCTCTCTGGGAAACTGCTGAGATCATCAGAACGAGCCAGGCATTTGAGGGGAAGTCAGTGTAGAAGAGAACAAAGACCACCCCCACCTTGAGGGGCTGCAGGCCTTGGGCGGCCTCTGTATCTCTCGCCTGACCACTGCCCAGAAGGCTTGCAGGCTCCCTGCAGCTCCCTTAGGCTTCTTTGATCCTTCCAGCCTGGAACCATGGTTTGGACCTTAGTGTAGCCTCTTGATGGCTTCTCACTGGTTAGGCAGCAGGGAAGCCCCTCTGGGGGTGTTCCCTCCACCCCTCTACCTTCCTCCCCTCCCCCAACCAATTCCCTCACTCCAGAAGAGCCACTCCTCCCGGCTTATTTGTCTAACATTCCCATTCACCTTTCAAGTCAGATCAGATGTCACCGCCTCTGTGAAGTCTTCCTGGACTTCACCTCTGCCGCCCACACTGCAGCCACAGCCTCAGTGCCCCGGACTTTAAACTTATGCCCTGTGCACCATGATCTGCTCATGTGACTGTGTCTCCCAAGCGACTGCAAGCTCTGCCAGGACACACCCTTAGCATTTATGACTGCAGACAGGGACGCGTGTACAAGAGGAGAGAAAGTTTGCTCGCTGTCCGGGACGCCTCCATCCTGTGCCTCCAAGAGACACCACGGTGGAGTGGTTATGCACACAGTGTCTGGAGCCCAACTCCCTGTCTACCACTTACAAGCCACATAACCTCAGGCATTACAAGCGGACACAACCCCTCTGCGCCGCAGTTTATTCCCGCGTGGCGTGAGGACCCTAATAGAACTTACACCACAGGGTGGATGTGAAGATGAAATGAGCTAATACGAGCCAAGGGCGCAGAGCCAGGGCTGGCTGGCAGTCAGTGCTCTGGTAGCTTCAGCTTCACGCTCTGCCTCTCCCTGCACGCAGGACAGGCCCTCCAACCCCGATGAAGGTCCGCACTGAGCACCAACTCCATGCCTAGCCCTGGGCAGGAGGGTCGGAGCCTGAGTGACAGTTGAAGCAGCCTCCTCCCCTCCCTGTCATGTACAGAGCCAGGCGGCCCTGCTTCACCCCACTTTGTACATCAGCAGAGACGTGGAGGTGGCACTGGAACCCAAGAATGGCTGGGACTGTCTGGGGGGAGCAGAGAAGGGCCGCAGCTCAGCCACGGCGCTGAGGGCTGGGGGCTGCCCCATCTGAGCCAGCACCCCCAGCCCGGCTGGCCTGGCGTCCCCCAGGTCTCCACTTTCTCTGAGTCCCTCTTGCTGCCTCCGATTCTCATTTGCTCACAAGTAAGAATTCATTCGCCCCCATTTCCTGCAGGGCGTAGCTGGCTGGTTCCAGGCCAGCTTAAACATCGGTCTTCCGAGTCTGAGCCACCTCTGGTCATGCCATGCCTCAGCCCGAGAATGTCACTGGCTTCAGCCCTCGCCTCTGCCCTCACACAGGCACCTCACAGGCCACGCTCTGAACTGCCCACAGTTCCTCAACAGGCCCCTTCAGGCCCCATGCCTCTGCACAAGCCATACCCCCCATTTAGCAGGCTACCCCTCTCTGGTTCAGGGGCCACCCTCCTCCTCCCTGAGGCCTTCCCTGTCCCATCAGGTGAATCTCATCTCCACAGAGCTTCCATAGCCCTGGCCCCATGTCTGTTCCAGCATAGACCCTGTAGTTCTAGAACTGTCTTTATATGTCATTCTCCTCTGTTATACTGTAAGCACCTTCAAGATCTAGGTGGTCTTCCTATTCCTGGGGTGGGAACTTAAGAAAATGTTGATAAAGTTAGGTGAGAAAAGACCCTTTCTCTTACTCTGCCATGAAGATGTCCACTCAGGAGAGATTTCACTGCGGGCTTACCATCCCACCCCCAGAGAGGGGCCCGCGGTCTTCTGTGGGCCCCCACCTGGCAGCAGTGAGTGGCCATCTGCCCACGGAGACCCTTCCACTTCGGCAGGGGTGAGGCTGCTGCACCTCTGGCCAGCACACAAGGTTCTGAGAGGGGCCTGGGTGAGGGGTGAGCCTCAGCCTACGATGGGTCCTATCCCAGGCGAGCAGCCTGGAATTCAATGCCGGTGGGACCAGGGAGCTAGCTATAGGGACAGTGGTACAGATGCTGGGGGATGTCCTGTGGTGAGGGATGGTGCATGACCGAGACGCAATTCTCACAGGTCTGCCGGGAAGACCAGAGGTGTGGGGGGACCCACAGCAGACAGGGGTCCTGTGCACTAAGGGCCGCTGTCCCTGCTTGGCCAGATCCTGATGGTGGGGCAAGAAGGGCAGGGTGAGAATGAGGGGCTCCCCTGCCCCAGTCCTGGACACTGGATAAGAATAGAGCTGGCAGGTGGGTGAGGCACTGAGGGCATGGCAGGTATGGGGGCAAGGCCTTAGTGTTAAGGAATGAGGAGCCCCGTTATCAGAACCGGTGTGAGCTGGGATGGGGGGCCACCTGGAAATGAAAATCCTGGGATCTAGAAGCTGAGGGCCCCATGGCCACAGGGAGCCTATAGATGGGGATGAAGAGGCCCAACCCTAGTAGGGAGTGGAAGGTCCCTGTAAGAACAATCAGAGGAAGGGCACCTGGGTGTCTCAGTTAGTTAAGTGTCCGACTTTGGCTCAGGTCATGATCTCATGGTTCGTGGGTTTGAGCCCCACGTTGGGCTCTGTGCTAACCGCTAGCTCAGAGCCTGGAGCCCGTTTTGGATTCTGTGTCTCCCTCTCTCTCTGACCTTTCTCTGCTCACGCTGTCTCTCGTTCTCTCTCTCTCAGAAATAAATAAAACATTAAAAAAAAAAAAAAAAGAACAATCAGGTAAAACCTGGATGGCAGGGGCTGGGAGACAGGGAAGGGACAGGCCAGGAGGCAGCAGAGGACATGGCAGGGAGTAGCACCACAAACAAAGAGGCTCCAAAGGGCACTGAGGGGCATGTTGGTGCCACTACAGGAGAGGGGCCTGGGCCTGCGCCCAGGAGGTGTGGGCTCTGAGGTCAGAGCCAGCTGGGAGGGACGGTGGAGCCCCCAGCCCTCTGTCACCTCTCAGTCTGCACAGGGCCTGGGGCTCTCTCTCTCTCTGGGGTCTTATCTCCATCTGCGAGCAAATGAGGAAAAGCCACGCCTCAGAGAGGGGCCCACACCTACGGCTGAGCGAGCTGGGGACCTCATCACCAAGAAGTGGCACTCACATCATGGTTACATGGTACACAGTTAGCACGACAATATTCCAGCAGATGCTGGACATGAGTCCTGGAGAAGGGGTGCCTTTTGTGAATCTGCACAAAGGCTCAATATGGATGAGTAGAGGGGAGTCAGAGGCTGAGGAACACACCTAAGATCACCAAGCAGGGGAGGACAGGACTCGGGTACCCTGACGGGCCTCCTTGAGAGCCAGCCCTGCGCAGCTCTCCCCAAAACCCACCCTTGCCGTCTTGGACCCAGGATACTAGTCCCAGGCCCAGCCTGCCGCCCCTGCGGTTCTTGCTCCTCTCTCTCTGGGCTCTACCCCAGGCCAAACCTCCTTCAGGTTTGCACCCCTATCCCTCCCCACCTGGAAGACCTCCTTTCCCTGAACACTTCTGCATAGATCCTTAGTGCCCACCATTCTGACCCTCAATCACATTCTGAAATGTGGAAATGAAAACAACTGGGCTCAGGAGGCAGATGGACCGATCTCTGCCCCTCTGAGCCACAGTTTCCTCACCTGTAAAATGGGGATGGCTGCTATTAAATGAGGTGATATATGTCAAGTGGCACACTGTAGACACATAATAAGGGACGGTTCCCTGGGCCATGGACTCCTTCAGGACAGGGATGGCTGAGATGCATCCATGCACCCGGGGCCCACATCCTGCAGAGCACAAGGTGATGCTCAGACTCGGAGTGGAGAAGAGAAGCAGGCGTGAGCCTGTGACTCAGGGAGGCTTCAGGTCCCCGGTGGACGAGGCCATCCACCAACCCAGACATATCCTCAGGCTGAGGACCGGGGGAAGGAGCTCCTGTGATACCCAGCCTCGTTCTGTTCAGAGCCTATGTAGCCACCGGACCAGGACAAAGGTCAGGTAGCTCCTGAGCTGGCTGGGCAGCAGCAGGAGAGGCCAAGAGCAGCTGGGGAGGGGACAGGCCCCGGCCCTGAGCTGCGTGGGCTGCTCTATTCCTGCACCGGGAGATGGGGGTGACAGGGAAGCCCGGAGGCCGAGCTCCAGAGGCTAGGGCACCCCCTGCCTCATCTCCTCCCATTCTTGTCTCCCCCTCCAGGAAGACGGGTCCCTCCCTCCTGCACCAAGCGACAAGTGTGCTGGCTTCCCAGAGGCCACCGCTCCCCTCACCGCCTCCTAATGATTGTCACGTCTTCTCCTCTTCCCCCTTCGTCTCAGTCCCGCCCACC